CGTCAAGACAGACCAGGTCCACATTGCTTGCGAGAAGATCATGCTCGTCCAGCGCGACCACGGCGACCGCAAGAACCGCAAGCACGCCCGTCTCAAGTACACCATTGACGACATGGGCGTCGACGTCTTCCGTGGCAAGGTCGAGGAGCTCTGGGGACAGAAGTTTGAGAAGGAGAAGCCCTTCGAGTTCAAGTCCAACGTTGACACGTTCGGCTGGCAAAAGGACGAGACAGGACTCAACCACTTCACCTTCTTCATTGAGAACGGCCGCATCGAGGATACTCCCGAGTTCCAGATGAAGACTGGTCTCCGTGAGATTGCCAAGGTGCACAAGGGCGAATTCCGCCTCACGGGTAACCAGCACTTGATTCTCAGCAACGTCGCCGACGAGGACCTCGACTCCATCAAGGACCTCATGAAGAAGTACAAGCTCGACAACGTCCACTTCTCCGGCATGCGCCTCAGCTCGTCGGCCTGTGTCGCCTTCCCTACTTGCGGTCTCGCCATGGCCGAGTCGGAGCGCTACCTGCCTGTACTGATCACCAAGCTCGAGGACTGCCTCGAGGAGAACGGTCTGCGTCAGGACTCTATCGTCATGCGCATGACAGGATGCCCCAACGGTTGCGCGCGTCCTTGGCTCGCCGAGGTTGCCTTTGTCGGAAAGGCGTACGGCGCGTACAACATGTACCTCGGCGGTGGTTACCACGGCCAGAGACTGAACAAGCTGTACCGCCAGAGCATCAAGGAGGACGAGATCTTGGCCATCATGAAGCCGCTACTCAAGAGATACGCGACTGAGAGAGAGACTGGCGAGAGATTTGGTGACTTCTGCATTCGCGTTGGTGTTATCAAGGGCACCAAGGAGGGTCGGGATTTCCACGAAGGGGTAAGACGAGATCCTACCTCTCTATTGATATCTTGAGTTGTGATGACTAACATTAATGATAGGTTCCCGAAGAAGAGTCTGACGAGGAATAAGCCTGTCTAATGCTTTCGAGTACTGACGGTTTTACGACGAGATCTGATGTTCGGTGTGCGGACGAGGATTTAAATTTGAGATTTACAAAATGATGGGATTTGCACAAAAAAGAGATGAAAAAAGTTGGATTACTTTTGTAAAATGTACATGGTCTTGTATCCGCTTTAGCAGCTTTCAAGCATTACGGGGGCCAGGCGTTGCGATTTGTCGTTTTTACTATACTCTTGATCGATTTATGAAAACTATATTTCAAACTCTTTTCTAGACAGGTTGAAAGGCTGTCTCTTTCCACATATGTCTGTCTGTCTGTGTTTCAATGTATGTTATCGTAATTGGGTGCAAGCTAAACTCGAAGACTTGAGACGGCGCAACAAGTCATCGGGTACATCATTTTGCAAGGTACGGTGCTTTGAACAACCATGTGAAATTATCTAGAGACCGTCTGCGTATCTCGTTCTATGTCCTTTCTTTTTTTTTTCTTCTGTCTGTGTTGTGTAAATTCTATACTCATGCATCCATCTCTCGCAAGATTTGCACTTCAGTACCTCGTACTCCGGCAGGGTATGCTAACAAAAGAGAAAGAAATCAAAATCATTCTTTGCAACGAAAAAAGCGTCATTGCTTTCTAGTAGCTCATCAAATCTGTAAAACCACGCTGTTAGTTATCAACCGCTTCAAGCCCAATGGTAAAGAGTAAATCAATGGGGGACAAAAACATACCCCTTCCAAAGAGACCGCGCTTGGCCCAGTCCATGGCAAGCAAGATCCGCGTCCTCAAGCTCACGCTCTGCGCAAAGTAGACGGACCGCCACATGTACACAGCCCACAAACCACCCGCGAAATTCCACCCCTGGCCCCAGTCGAAGACGGCCGAGTTGCCAATGTACGCGAGACTGCCCAAGTGGCGGTACTCGAACGCCTTGTACACCACCGAGTCGATGTCGCCGTCGAGGACCATGTTGGCCTTCAGCCCGTCCGACGTGCGCGCCATCTTGTTGAACTTGTGCGCGAGGTACTGGCCCTGCTGGTGGGCGCGCTGCGCCGTGGCGGGGAGGGACGTGAGCTTGGAGTCGATCTGCTTGAGGAGCTCCCTGAGCTCGCCGAAGCCGAGGGTGCCGGACTGGTCCTTGTCGAACTGCTCAAAGAGCTTGTCGAGGCGCTTCAGGTGGCCGACGGCCTGGGGAAAGCGGCGCTTCACGTCGTTGGCGACCTCGCACCAGTCGCTGAAGTGGAGCTCGAGGGTCTCGGGGTCCTTGCCGTGCTTGAAGGCGAGGCCGCGGCAGAAGGTGATGATGTGGTCGGCCACGTTGTTTTGGACTGTCGAGCAGTCGCCGATGGCGTAGACGTCGCCGAGGGGGGTTCCGTTTAGGCGGAGGTGGGTGTCCGTCTCGAGGGCGTGGCGGTTCGTCTGCGAGGGGCCGAGCTTGGAGGAGAGGCGCTTGCAGAGGTCGGCTTGGGCGACGCCCGTTGACCAGAGGCAGAAGCCCATGGGAAGTTCCTTGGTGAGGAGGGATCCGTCGGGCTGCTTTTGGGTGAAGGTGATCTTGTCCGGGTGGACCTCCTTGACGCGGGAGTTTGTGAGAATGTCAACCTGGTCGCGGGCGAAATGCTCCTCTGCGTACTTGGAGAGAGTCTCGTCGTAGGTGTTGAGGATGTGGCTGCGGCTCTGAATCAGGTGGACGGAGATCTCGTTGCGGAGGAGCTTGGGGAAGTGAAGTGTCAGGTCCTCGTTGAGCATGTCAAACAGCTCGGCCGCGAACTCGACACCCGTGGGACCGCCACCGCTGACGACAAAGGACAAGAGACGCTTGCGCTCCTCGTCGGCGGTCGTCGGCAGGCAGGCTTGTTCGAGATTGTGCATGACTTGGTTTCTAACCTTGCGCGCATCGCTGATGTCCTTGAGGAAGTGGGCGTTCTCCAGTCCCTTGACGCCGTGGGGGTTCGTGGTAGATCCAACGGCGATGACCAGCTTATCGTAGGGGACATAGAATCGTGTTTCGTTGCCAAAGGCGTCGGGTTGAGAGCACTCAATCAGCTTGTGGGAGAACTCGACGTCCTCGGCCTTGGCGCGGATGAAGTGACCGTGAACGCGGGCGAGGATTCGGCGGACGGGTTCGACCAGTGATCTCAGTTCCAGGGTTCCAACAGTGGCAGAGGGCAGCATGGGCGTGAACAAGAAGTAGTTTGTCGGGGACACAACAGTAACGTGGTATTCATCCGGGTTGAGCTCCTTGAGTAGAGCAACTCCGCCCCATCCGCCGCCGAGAATAACAAGCTTGGGCTTCTCCTTTGCGCTCTTCATATGTTCGTTGTCCAGGTCGTCAATCAGCACCTCTGCGATGGGCAGGTTCTTTGGTCCGCCTCGCTTGGGGCTCAGTGCCAGCTCAGATACCTCGATTTCGTTCTGGTCCGGGTGTTCCTTGTAAGTGGAGGCATCGTAGATGAAGAAGCCAACCACGCCGAGGCCGACAAAGATGATGCCGCCGCCGAGCCATGCGGCGCTGGCGTACGCGAAGCGGAGGAGTCGTGACCTTTGTTTCGGAGTAGGGGCCGGCGGCGGCGCGCCGGAGACTGATCGGATGGCGGTACCTTTGGGCAGACCGTGGGCGTTGAAGAAGAAGTTGGCGAGAGGTGTGGTAGGAGGTGTTGTCCGGGATCGCTGGGGAGGAGGGCTAATAAAGGCGCGCCTTTGCGCGAGGGCGGCGACCTGTTGCTTGCATATCGGCGTAGGTTTGAACAAGCTGATGGGTGATGTGTGAGAAACGGCGCGAGGTATGCGCCTCAGCGCGGATGTCGTGGGAGGCATTTAATTATCGCAGATTAGTCCGGTGTTTTTTTCGTCTGACGTCGTGATAGAGTAAAGGTAGATCTAGCAGTATGGAGATGTCATGTCGAAACGAGTGAATGGGAGCAAGCAGAGAGCTCTAGAGATGTGTCGCGGTGTATCAATTGCAAAGAAGCAGCAAGAGACAGAGGTAACCAGAGAGAGTTGAGGTTGTTGGATTTTTCCAAGAAAGAGAAAATCAAGGTCGTAATGGTCACGAAAATGAAAAGGTTCCTAGGGGCTGGCGGGCATAGCTCCCTGGACGTATGCGTAATGATGCTTGTACTAAGGTACTGTTCGCGCCAGAACCGTCAAATCCGAGGAAGCTAAGGTACCTTACACCGCACTACGTAGCTACGTAGACGGGAGGACGTACCTTATGCCGACAGCTCCAGCAAGTACGTCATTGTTCGGTTAAGCCGAAGGTTGCCTCCCATGCAATTACACCAGATAGGCCAGAATAATCTCCAAGGTGTCTTGGTCTACTTGTCTACGGATAGACTGACCACTAACCTTTTGGACGAGTTCTCTGATGCATCACGCGAGCAGGCAAGAAAAAAAAATTCTTTACAAAAAAGCAGCATCCGACCGCATTATCGCCGTCACCGACGACGAATCTCGGACTTTCGTCCCAACACCTCAGTTCCGTTGTCGGCGCCGCGATCTCACGGTCGTCCGAGCTGATAAGATCCTTTTAAAGAGGACCAACTAAAAAAGGGTCCTTTCTCGGCCTGAAATCTGAATACTCATCTAGCGAGAAACTGTGATCTCAGTCAGCGGCGTCCAAAGACCCCCTGCCGCGGGAGCCGTACGTCTCCACCACCATGTCCACTTCTCGGTGTCTCGTTCGGCCAATTTGTAGCCGCATTTGGAGCCAATGACGAGAATCGCAGCCGTGAATCCGGTATCCGTCCAGAGTGCCAGAGTGCGAACAAGGCGAGCCGCGAGAGACATATATGCGAGGCAATGGATCTTCCAGGCTGTCTGGCAGGCGAACATGCGGCCTTTTCCAGAGGGACGGGTTCCAGCCCTTGAGGACCCTCAAATCTCATGAATCAAGCAGCCTTACTCCATGGCATTACGATGCACTTTTGCAATAGGATCTTTCCTGTTGCCACTTGGGCACTCATCGATTTTGCTACAGAGGCAGGCTCGGCGCAACTCGGCCGGGTTATACAAGTATATATATGCCTACGGCTAGCATCGGAAGTACTTCTTCTCAACCCAGCGATCCTCAATATCTGCGAGCATGTTGCACAGAACAATAGTGATACCAGGAAACACCTTTGCAAGACGGTGTACACCCAGTCTTCCGGCAGCATAGCACGCCAGCACAATCTTGTCCTGGGCAACGCCGTGATCGACGAGCACTTGCACAGCCATGAGTGCGGCGCCTCCGCTGGCCATCTGCGTGTCAATCAACAACACCGACTCGTGAGAGTCAATGTTATCCGGGAGCTTGAGATAATGCAGCTCGGGCTCTCCCGTCCGGACGTTGGACTGGATCAGGATTCTGCCTGTCCGCATGTCGGGGACGACCCTCTTCAAGGCCGTCTCAAAGGCGGCACCGCCACGAAGGACCAGCACCGCACTTACATCGCCCGTAGCTTGGAGTCCGTTGTACTTGTATCCTTGCGGCGTGGCAATAGTCTTTTCTCTGAACTGGACATTGTTGAGTGCCCTGTGGTTGTTAGCCCGTCATTCAGACGTTCACCCAGCAGGCAATCTACTCACTGCTCGATCAGAAGACACGCGAGGCGGTCAAAGTAGAAGATAAAGTCTTCCGCGGAGGTGTCGATATCCTGGATGATGGTGCTCATGCCTCTCAGTTGCGGTGACTGGTCGAGAATCACGACTCTGTCAGACAGAGGGTCACTGGCAGCAGCCAACTCCAACTGCGTGAGTGCTGCCCGGTGGTGGGTTGACTTTTCGATCAACTTGCGCTCAATGTACTGAACAACCATGGCTAGACTAGGTATTAGTTATGAAGCTGTACTGACATGATGATATGCTTACCCATAGCTACGCGGTTCTCGATACCTCTCGGCACGATGATGTCTACTTGCGATCAGTCTCTACGAAGCATCTGAAGCGGTTCGGCTAGTTTACCTGCGACTTTGCGCTGCGGCTCGACGAACTGGACACAGACATGTTAGGAAAGTCCAACACGATTTGATGATGGAGCTCTTTACTTTTTCAAAGTTTGGTTTCACAAACTTGAACCACTGCTTCATGATACCATCTACGTCACGGCCACGCTCCTTGACGTCTCTCAACACTTTACGTTGCAAGGTCAGCTGTGCAGTAAGCACATCACATCCCGGGCTGCCTGCGACTTACCTCTCCGTGACAAACACGTATCGGCATCCGCCTCGCAGAATATCTGAGCAACAGTCAGAAGTTGATCGCGGTTCGATTTGACGGGATTGAAATACCCTCATATCCAGAAGATCAATAATACGGGGGTCATGGAGGGCAAAGATTCCTTCCAGGATGATGACGTGAGGTGAGTAGATGGTTGTGGTATTGTCCAACCTTTGATGCTTAGAGAAGGAGTAAATGGGAATTTCAGCCCGTTTTCTAAAACCAATTATTATCATGATATAAACATTGATGTCTGAAATGCTCGCCTTCAGACTAGAAGAAGAGTTTCATGAAGCAAATTAGAAAGCGAAGATGTTACAAGACTTACCCAGCCTTCAGATCGCGCAAACATTGTACAAGTACGTTAAAGTCAATTGCCTGAATTCGGTCAACATGCATGCCAGCAGTACTATCGGCATATATCTTACATCCGGCGCGTCAAAGTCAAAGTCGTTGTCAAAAGCCCTTTTTGACTCCTCAGGACTCAGGGGGTTGTAGAAAGAGTCCTATATTCAGATCGAGTCAGGGGAGGGGCCATCGCCGCAAGCCGCCGGTTGGCGGGGTAAATGCACACATACCATGGACAAAATCACCACCCAGGGCAGATTCAGCTTCCTCACAATGGCGTGCGACAGAGTCGACTTTCCAGAGCCGGAACTGCCAGCAATACCAATGATGCTGACATCTGCCCACGGTGGTGAGTAGTGAGTCCGCCGCTGGATCGTCACATGAGACTCGGTGCCGCTGTGGTTGTCTGCCATTCTTTGAGCTGAGAGGCGGAGGTCGCCGACGTCGATGCGCGGGGCAGGCTGGTGGTGGTTTATCGGGTAGCTACAGCTTTATCCTCGGATTCTGCAGCGAAGTGAGATAGGCCGGTGGACAGAACAACCAACGACCTGAGGAACAGAGACTGCAGGTGTCGACGGCTTTGATGTCTGCTCCCTTCGCAATGGAAGGGGGGAAGAAGCAGAGATGAAATCTGAGGATATAAAAATGAAAACACTGGCTAGAAGGCGACTTCCAGGGTCCAGTCCCCAAAGATAAGCGCTGAGGGGGATGGGTGCTTGACTTTGACAACCTAAGCCCGGTGTATGGTGGAGCTGGCCGGGCTAGATCTGATGTTGAAGGTAACCGAATGGAAGGTACCTGCCACAAAGCTTGCTGATCAGACGGGAGCCACGAGAGGGGAAGTTGCGTTTTGCTGTTTCTATAGGGAAGGTGGACTGTACATCTTGGAAATGTTAGAGACAAGTTAAAACAGCCTGATCAAAAGAGAGAGGCTGTGCTCGCGTGCTATCTTTCCTCAAAGCATCAAGTCCGGTTCTCCAACGGAACATCTCTTGTAGAAGTGAACGACCCAATAGCGGGCTGGGCTCACACAGGTGGGCGCACAAATACACAGGGTCCAGATGACCGCAGCTGTGCCTACGCAGGACAGCAGCCCGCAGGCACGATGCGTAGTTGCGGTTCATCACTTCGTACAGGTAAGGGCTGTCTGTCAGGTGGTATTAGCTCTGGTACCTGCCTCTCTTGTGCTTCTGGTGGGTCGCGCCCTGTGTTTTTTTTGCCCTGTTCAACCCCAGTTGTGGCCCCCCCGGCTGCGTGGCTGCTCTCAGCGCCTTACCTGCCTTACCTTGAAAGTAAGGTACCTTGCCTTGGGTAAAGAGGGCATGTGCCTCGGATTACCTAATTATGGCTGCCCCACGCCAGGCGGTCTGGCTGATCCTGCGATTGGCCCTCTGCAGCCGCAAACTCTGGAACCAAATAAAGCTCCGCTCCAGCCTCTTTCTCTTTGTTCTGACGTTTCTTCCTTCTTCCACATCCAATCCCAGTTCTTCCTCAGCATCTTTTTCTTTCAAAGACTTCCTTCGCGTAACAAAACGAACGGGAGCTCGACTGGCCACTCAAATGTGACGACGGCCCAGCCCAGAGCCTGTCTGATCCTGCCTTGCTTTCCCTGCATTTGCGCACTTCCCATCGCATGTCAGGACTGCCGGACATCAACGACCCAACAGCCATAGCAGTTTGGAATAGAGCTGCTGCGCGTCTCGTGCGGGAGACGTTGGAGAGAATCATGGTCCGTTGAGCTCCCCGTGTGCCAGTGTGCCAGCGTGTACATCCATGCTGGCCACGCCGTTTTGGTTGTCTTTGACAGCTAGCTAAGATGTCATCCAGACTTCGTCTGCGTCGACTGCTACACCCATGAAGCATGCCTTCGAGAGGCGTGTTCAGGACGTCAAGTCGCCCAAAAGGTAAGCTCCTCTCTCTCTTCTCGTTATCTTCCACGTCGAAGCCCGGCGCTAGCTCCGAAGCTACGTCTGGCGCTTCCCCCCTCCCCTCCCAGCTCACATGATGATCAACTATCAAATGGGAATCTCTCCTAGCAATTACCATGCGGAGAACTCGATATAAAATAACCCTGACACTTTTGCTGTTTTGCACATTTTTACGTTGTTCAAACTACAGTCAAGAGGACATCTGTGCTAACATGGACTCTCAGCGACATCAACGCCCTGATCCTCGATTACTTGACGGTGGAAGGCTATCCTAACGCTGCCGCAAAATTCAGCAAGGAAGCCAACCTCCAACCCCACCAAGTCGACGAGACGATCAAGGTCCGCCAGCAGATTCAAAAGTCCATTCATACTGGAAGCATTCAGTACGCCATTGAGGCTCTGAATGACTTTGACTCAGAGGTTAGTTGTTTACTCTCCGCAACATTAAACCCCAGTCGCAGTGATTAGACATCGAGTTATCATGCACCACTCATAGCACCTTCGGGACACTTTGATGAGGAACAACCACTTTTTGATGAGCTTTCGCCTTATACACTACTTGTCAGCATGTTTCTGCTTTGTACACATGTCCTAACAAGTCATCTAGATCCTGGACCGCGATCCAACCTTGCACTTCGCGCTGCTTCGCCTCCAACTTGTGGAGCTCATTCGGGCGTGCACAAACACACCTGGCGGGGATATCACTCCTGCCTTGTCATTCGCCACGAACCATCTTGGACCACGTGCACCGACCGACTCGCGCTTCCTCAAAGACCTGGAAGAGACGATGGCGCTGTTGGTGTTCCCGCACAACGATCTCGAGCCGCAGTTGGCAGCCATTTTGCATCCAGACCTGAGACGGGATGTTGCAGATGATGTCAACAAGGCCATCTTGCAGCGTCAATCGGAGCGTAGGGAAGCCGCGATCCGACAGCTGGTCAAGATGAGGGCTTGGGCTGAGTCTGCTGCGAGAGCGGAGAAGAAGCCCCTCCCTGAGAGAATTGGTCTCGGCTTGAATGGAGACGAGAGTGACGGGCACGACCCAATGATGCTCTCGTAGAGCAACAGTCTTGAGGGCTACAGCAGCGACAAGGAGAATTATGATCCACTGCAAGAGGGTTCGTTGAGTGAGGGTAATGGGCGAGAAACAAACGATCTTGATCGGTATCTCATTCACAGACCGATTACCTCCCAGGTCGAGGAATAGAATCGCATCCTGGGAGCGGAGAGTTATCACGATGGCGTGGCCCATGTCGCTGACGATGCTAAAGACCGCCGTTTGGTTGAGTTGATCATGGAATATTATGAAGGGGAACATGATGGCTAGGGAATAGCGCATGGAGTTAAGAGCAAGCAGGGTTTGACTTTGGGATACGGGCCAGGATTGGCAAATCTTGGAGGCGTTACATCATTCATTTGGTTACGACTGAATGAGGGATTATGGTACATACATTTTTAATGGTTCACGACATCGGGTCAACAGATGACCGATAAAGGAATAGAAGCCATCACGGCAATTGCGAACTCTATACTATACCCCTCTCGTGAAATGTTCCGTGAGAAAATGGCCGGCCGTGTTTGGTCTCTTTGTGACTATCAATAACCCATAATATACCTAGGTACCTTCGCAGTAGAATCTATCTTACCGCAAGGTAGATGGATGGTACGAGTGGAGACTTTCGAGCCAATCACGGTTGGAGAAAGTCCGATTACAGCTCAGCATACTGAGTTTCCCGTACGGAGTATGTTCATCGAGGAACCCAGCTTCAATATCAAAGTCACGTTGAAATCCGGTTATGTTTCAATTTTTTATTGCTTTCTTTACCAAAACCCCTCTCCTCATCAGGTCTCAGGTCTACCATGGGGTACAAACGGTCTTTTGAAAGTTTTATATACAAGTGATACTCCGTACAACAATATCGCTCCCACTCTGTCCCTCTCTACTTGGTCCGAATGTGCTTAAGCTTCTTGGGCGAGTACAAAAAGTTGTTGGCGTACGCCTTGGGCTTGATCCGCCTCGACTGCGGCTCCTGGACAAAGTACTCGTACCCTTGCTTCTCTGCAAAGTGGATGGCGTCCTCCTTGGACTTGAAGTTGAGTTTGGTGCCCTGCATCATGTCGGCCGACGACTGCCAGCCCATGAGCGGGTTCTCCCAGCGGTGGCCCTTGGGGAGGATGTCCCAGTCCATGCGCCAGTGGTGGCCTTGCCAGTTGCCTGATTGCGTTGCGGGCTTGGATTCCTGGTAGATGCTGTGAGGGTTTCCGTCGTTAGCTTTTGCGATTTTTTTTTCTTTTCTGTCTTTCCCTGTCGTCTGAGATAAAGGCTATGCGTACCGGACTGTGCGAGCCTGGAGCTCCATGGGGGCACCGGAGATGACGGCGGCTTGGATGAAGGGGACGTCTTCGCTGCCGTTTTGGAGCTTCTTGGGGGTCGGGGTGAAGGTCCTGCGAGAACACAACCCAATTAGCACTTTGTTATGTTTGCCCAACCCAATTGCAAACGCATGCAATAATTCCTCCCAAGAGCTTTGCGTCCTTACGAGGTGGCCTTATCGGCGGCGATGCTGTAGTCGGGCTCGTTCTGCTCGGTCGAGGGGGCCACGGCGGCGGGCTGCTGTGTCGTGGTGCCGGTCGTGAGCTGGCTCTCGAATCGGCGAGCGGTTACGGGCGCGGAGACGGAAGCTCGGAAGGGAGCGGCGCTCCGCAGCAGGCGAGCTGCGTTGTAGGCGCGGAGGGATGCCATTGCGACGTGTGGGAGATGGGTGTTGGCTTCCCTTCAATTGTCGTCGTGGGACGAATTGGGTAGTCTGGGAATGCGATAATGGGTGGTGGTTGATGGTACGGCACTGGACAAGGCGGAAGGGCCTTGCCTTGCTTGGGGGGTGGCCCGGATTGGGGCGCGCTGATTGGTCGCCGCAAGAACCTTGACCCGAAAGAAACGAGTGCTTTTCGTTCAAACCTCACTTTCGGCAAACGGAGCGTCACCCTCGTCTATCATAGCCATCAGCCTTCCTCCCCTCCACGTCGAAATCGATAAAGTCAATTGATCCGCTCAATTGACCGTTTGCGCCGAGCGACCCTCCCGATTCTTCGATACCCCAAAGTCACCATGAGCTTCGTCCCCCGCCGCGGTCTCTCGACCCTCATCCCCCCCAAGGTGCGCTCATCTCCCTCTGTCCGGCCGACGACCGGCAGCTCTGCTATCGAACCAGGAGAAGTATGCTGACATTGATGCACACAGGTCGCCTCTCCCAAGGTACGATTATGATCCCGACTCACGTTTTTTTTCTGTTTTTGTGATGGATGCGAGGTTTGGATGGGAAAAGGTTACCCGGTGAATTCGGAGGTTCGGGCGCGGGATACGGAGGAGCGACAAGGACGGAGCTACTCGGAGCTACGGATTTTCTCAATAGCAACATCAACAACGAGATGCAATACGGATCACAGGAAAAAAGGGCTAACATGACGAACACGGACAGGCCCTT